CAGATAAAGTTTTCGACCATTTATTTTTGCCTTGCTTCTCACAACCACTTATGTTTTTTTTTATACTTTTGAAATATCATTAATTTATAAAGAATTCATTAATTTAATCATCAACAGGTTGCTCTTCGACTAACCAAAACATTAAATTGAAGTTATGTTTATATTTGCGTTGTTGACGCTAGTAAAATTAGAACATCCGAAGTTGCGTCCCGAGTATCCCCGACGTCCCAAATAACCCCATTTTACGGTAACTTTTAATACCTTTTAGGTAGTCCAGCAGAATTTAAGGATACAAACAATCCGGATTGGGTCCCCAGTACAAATTTAGGATATACTACGATGATTGATAGAAGCCCAGAATGAACAAGCCAGTAAGCTAAGCTACATGCCAGATCTGTGCACCGATCAGAACAGTCAAAACGTTTGAGGAGTCATTCTACCACAAATCTATTTTGCTAAAGTTTATTTGTAAGGTTGTTAGTATCAAACTTTTTTATTTTTTAAACAATTTAGATTCTTAAGCATTATTTTTGTTAATAAATTGTTTGTTTACGTTTACTATTATTATTATTATTACTATATTGTTGAATTGAAATGTAAAGTGGCATGTCTGTAAATAAAGATTCATTCATTCATTCCATTCATTCACAAAAACTAAAAACAACTTAAAATTTATTGAATAAATCAAAAAACGCAAAAATTCCAAAGCACAAACTCAAAAAACATTGTAAACAATGATCTATAGGCTTTGTTGGCCCCTCAGCTAATATGGCGGACCTGTCAAAAGTCATGTGACCTGGAATGCCTAATGTAGACAATGTAGACAACGTGTCAACAATGTAAAATAATATAAATGACGTTTAACTCTAACCTCACACTTTCCTTTTCGAAAATTATTTTTATTTTATTATCGATTTATAATCAGTGAATGCTGATATCAAAGTGGTAGGTATAAGCTACTTAGGTAGTAGTAATTTTGGAACTTTTTTTTAAAATTTTCTAAGATAAGTTTATTGTTTACGTCACATGTAGACAATGTGTAGACAATTGCCCACGTAAACAATTCGAATTGTCTACACGTAGACAATCAATTGTTTACGTTGACATTGTCTACAGGGCCGGCCCTACCATAAGGCGAACTGAGCGAGCGCTCCAGGCGCCAGACCTCGGGGGGCGCCTTCGATTCGTTCCTTGGTAATACAAAAAAAGGGAAAAGTATATTTTCGCTTTGAATTCTGTCTCTGCTTTTCAATATCATGCTTCTCTGCTTGTGAGCAAGCTTGATGTGCTTACTTAGTATGAGAATAACCTGTCCTGACGTTTTTTTGAGACGCGCACGGATCGTGGGTGTGGTGGCGCCCTTACCCGATCATTTGATCACGATATTTCGGATAGTGATAACACTCACCCGAAAGCAGTCCTTCAGGCGTTAGCATTTAATAATTGGCAAGATACGTTTCCTCATATCTGGACAGCTCTCCGTATTTTTGTTACCATTCCTGTTACAGTGCCGAAAGGTGAACGGAGCTTTAGTAAGCTTAAGTTAATTAAAACAAAACTTACCTTAGCGGTCAACTCTAGCAGAAGAGAAACCTTCAGATCTAGCCCTAATGGCCGTTTCCACAAACTAGAAAGTTCTCGTGCGTCAGATGCTACGCTAATACGGTACCTACCGCTAACAACCCAACAAACAATTAAGGTTAAAATTACTTCCATTTGACCACTGAACTGGTCGAAAATTTTGCATGACCAATTTCAAATAGGGATTATTTACTTCCATTTGTTTTCCTTTTTCCCAAAGTGGGGAATAGAACTGAAGTAATTTAGAAGTCGATATTAGGTTGATAAGGTATTTATAACCAATTGGTCAAAAATACCAAAAAGAAAATATAGTACTGTTTAGGGTATTTTGTGGTAAATCCGCAGACATTTATTCCTATGGTATGACATAAATCTGACCTAAATCTAACAACAATCACCAAAACACGCTCTCCGTCTTTTTCTTTTCAAAATAATAGAAACCTATTGGTTATAAATATGATGACTGCTGGTGTTTGAGGTTTAAATCTTGCCTTTAGTTAAACTTGTTGAAGTAATGGCTTCCGTATACCGTATAGTAATGATTCAATGGAATTAATTGTAGTTAGTAGGTATACCCAGCACTGTGAAACAAAAATTCTATGCGGAGCGATCTTTTTCGTGAAATGTGGACAAAATATTCCCACAAAATTAAGGCGCCCTTGAAATAAGCGTTTTCGAGGAATTTTATTAATTATTTTTGTTGATATTCTGATACTCACATAACCTCAAAATAAATTTGCTTTGTTTTTAGAAGTAAGCTGTTAACCATATACCCTGAAATGTGTTTTTATTTGATTTACTTGTTTTTGGAAGGGCTAAAATGATATATTTCAAACATATTATAGAATATTTTTGATTGAATTTTGATAATAGTGGATGAATTAATATGGCTCCTTTTACAATTTCGACCTATAGGGACTTTTTCCCATAATTATTAACCAATAGCATATATTTTCCAGAATGCAGGCCCGAATAAACGTGCATTATTAACTTTGTGGTTAAATTTACCCATTTTAAGACCTAAAAATTACTTTTAGGTAAATTTAAATAAAGGTCGGAACTAGGTCCGATAACCGATAATGTATAAATGAAAGCGCCCCTGCTGAATCTCATTAAACCTCATTTTCGTAGGCCAATTTTATGTAATCAGCATCAACATTCTGATTACCACTAATATCATCAACACTACTTGTTGAAATTGTTGACTTTTTGTTAAATGAACATTTGGAAATGTATGAGGTGATACAATCTATTTCGGTGATATAGGTCTTTGAGTGGCAGAATTCTTTTTAACTACTCTATAGTACTGTGACGTGTTCCTTTAAGCCTTGGTCCTTCTGGTTTTCAACTTTTTAGACATGTTCTTGAAACTAACAAGGGCGAACGAACACACTTAGGAAACGCAACCACAGCAAAGATATTATTTAGGTTATAGGTTATAACACAAGAAAGTCTAATTTAGAAGAAAACATAGCAGTGGGACAAATATTTGTCATTGAAAGCTTTTTTTGGGAGCATTAACTTTGAGAACATTTTTGCAAGTAATTTTTGACCTTAATTAAGACTTTTATACCTATAGGTCTCTGGAACTAGAACTATTTTCTTTAAAGTCCAGTTACAAAGTTGAAATTAGGCCAAATATTTACCAAAAAAATCCTTTTAACCTCAAGGTCTGTAATAAGGCTATTTAGCAGACACTTTGACCAATTTTTCACCAATATACCTAAATAACTTGGAAGGATTTTTTCTTGGTAATAAATGGGATAATTTTTACTTGCTAGGATGACAAAAAAAAAACCTAACTTTGAATACCTATTTTAGGTCGATATTGAGTAAGTTATGACCCCTTAAATTGGTTTTGAAAACCTGAATTCTTTAAGCGCTTTTAGAAGGTGAATATTTAGTAGTTTTGAACCAATAGCTTCAACTTCTTAGTCAAATGTCTTCTAGGACTATAATCAGGTATACCATTACTAGTTTTGGAATTCCAGCTCAACACTTGAAGACATATTTTACTTTAATAACATTATTTAAGGAAATAATTACTAAAAGTTGACTAATTTAGGTAACTTTTTCTTGAGTGGTAGTCTATTGCACCAAAATGCTAGTTGGGAATACGGTATTTCACATGGTATTTTATAGTTCTCGAGCACGAAGACACATAAATCCTCTAATCCCTTATTCTGTTTACATTTTGACAGCTGAGTTGAGTAATCTAACCCCACTTTTTTTGCTTGTTTTCTAACTTTTATTTATTCTGAAGATTCCTGAGCTTGAATAATTTTCCCTTGGTGTTTTTTATGGAGGAATTATTAGAAGTTGCTGTTTTTGCAGACATAAATGGAGCTTAAACTAGTTTTGACAGAGCATAGCGTTACGGTAAAGCATCCGGTAAGTTCCGTTAAATAGCGGGCTCCGCTAACGCTTATACCGTAAGAACTGTCATACTTGTCAAGCGTTGTCAGCGTTACGGTATTTGAAATTTGAACGGCCCGAGAACTCTCTACTATTACGATAAGTATTTCCTAAACTGACATTTCTCCATGGAAAACTGTTAGTCTAGGGAATACTTATCGTTTAAGGCTTCCCGAAAATAACTAGTTGGTGGAAATGGCCATAAGTGTTATAAGTGATATTACCAAAGTGGATTATTGATTGATCCCATCAAAGAATGTGAACTAAATGTTAGTAAATAAGAGAACTTTGTACCAACGAACAGAAATGTTTTGAATTTTCACTTGATAAGATAAATAGAGACATTGAGCTTTTGTTTGTTCCAACCCAGCAGGAAACCGTAATATTATCGTCAGGATTCTGCGCAAAACCTAAAATTTTTGCATAGAAACTGAAATTCGTATACAGAGTGGTTCCTAAACCGTTCTGGGACGTTTTTTTGACGGGTTGGAACAAACCTATTAAATAGGGAACTTGCAAGTGGAGTAAAATTTTCCAAATTTGTTTTAAATCGATAGTTTATGCTGCACAATATTCATATGACCAGTTTTTATTTAACTGATACCGCCTTTGTTACACAAAAAATAATATTAAATTTGAAATAAAAATTTTCCCGCCAAAAAAATGCTCTTATGATGAATACCTGTTTTGACGTCACGATTCTGTAAACAAATCCGTCAATAGGGAAATCTGTGATAGGGAATTTGCACGTAAAAAAAATACAAAAGCAGTCCTTCACAATATTCTTCATCCATTGCGACAATTTTCACAAAAAGCAAACTTTAACACACTTGAATAACACAAAAATAGCACTGCGTCAGCAAGAGTTCGTTTGCTGCGTATTTTATGTTTACAAAATCTCAACGTCACAAGCGCTGTCAAATTGAAATTTCGTGTTTTCGCGCCAAAGTATTTCATTTGAATTTCAACAATTTTTTTTTCGTACAACATATAAATTAAAATGGAAAAAAAGAAAATTATGTTATAACTGATGACTAGAAGTATCTAAAAAAAAATAATTTGAGAAATATGAAAATTCCCTATTTCGTCAGTAGAATCCAAACATGCAATCAGCATGTAGGATACGTGTGAATCAGCCTTAAATTAAATTCGCTCCTCCGGCAAACTAACCTAACCAAAAAATGTCATTAAAAGATTTGTTTGTTTACTTTTGTGTTGTTTATGATTTTGTTATCATTCCTTAATTTATAAAATACTTTATATATATTTAATAGGTAGTCCAATAAATATTTTCACAATGAACCATTTTTACCAAGCAGTAGAATCCAAAGGCAAACCCTGCTTCAAAATAAGCTCGTTATTCCAAACTGATATTCTTGCAATCATGATATTCCAAAACGAAACTGCATGGGAAGCCCTGGCAAGTGATTTCAATGGAATTTCTGTATAATAATTCGTCTCGATTACTATTTCCAGGTTACTGAAGAAGAATTAAAATCACAGTCCAGGAAACACACTACGGTTTTTCAAGATTACTGCACCGATTTAAGGGAATATTTGCACATGAACGACAGCGATAAAGCCCAACTAAACTTTAAAGATGGGATGTTCACAATCAGCTTGGGTCTTAAAAATAAGATGAAAATGCAGTTTTTTCAAACAAGATTATATCAAGTAGGAACCTGCTAAAATTCTATGGTTTTGTGCTTATTCCTGAAATAATTTTCCAGGTGAATTTTCATGATAGCGTATTTAGTTTAGTGGATCAACTTTACAATAAGAATTTTGAGCATTTGACTGAACTAAATAGTCTAAGGAGCCAGTTTGAAAATCTTAAAAATGGTAAAATATTAAATTTGTAATAATCAATCCTTAAAACTAAAATACGATTTTCTAGATCACCAAATACTTGAGGAGAAAATGAATGAATTCCTAAATAGGAGAAAAGCGGAAGAGCTAAACACTTACAACAACTTTATAGCAATATTAAATGAGAAAAAAAGGGAAATACAACATTTGAATGAGCTTTTAATAGCATTTAGACAAGGAAGGCCTACAGTTAACAAACCATTCGAATCAAAGAAGAAACAGAATACCAAAAAGCCGATTATTGAAGAAGTTCCTGACAGTCAATCATCATCAGATAATGAGTCTGTTATCAGCAAAAGTGATTCTGAAAATGAACTCCCGAATTACAATACAGACGAAGAAAAGTATTCTAATAACAATAAAACAATAGCAGTAAAACGTAGTCAATCGCCTGTACCGAGTACATCCAAATGTGTATCACCAGATTCATCTAGTCGACCATTTCAATTTCCTACCAAAAGAATTCGGACTGAAGTTAATAACTATAAACCACATTTTAGTATACCTAAAGAAGATGAATTAAAAGTGGAAAAGAACGAAGAAGAGGCTTCGTGTAGTAATTCGAATAATGTAAATAGTAAAAAAGTTGCCACAGTTGAGTTAGATACCCAAGAATTACTTGATAATATAAATTAAATTATTTGTGTTGATTGTTTTTCACTGGTTCGTGATTTCTCTGTGATGGGAAGAGGTCTTTTGTTGTTTGACCAAGAAAAAAATTGTATTAACTGAACTAGAGAGATTTTTGTTTGGACTGTCTGAGGTGGGATTCTGTAACAGATAGAGATCCTTCTCATCACAATAGCACTTGCTATTTCCTTCTCTCATTTCGAAATCAATAGCGAGGGAACGTCAATAGAGATAGCATCTCTATTTGTTACAGAATCTCAGCCCTGTACTACTATATTTTTCGAGAAAATTGCTTGAGTTGAGGTAGCTTATACAAGAGAGTTCCAGTTCTTAACAGCTAAACCAAATTGAGATGCAGCTTCTCTCGCCAACTCATAATCTTGATAAGTTTCTGGGCTGGAGGTCACACTACAGTAAAACATAAATGAAAAGCAATTTTTCCAATTCAATTTTATTATAACATAAATAAATAATATTGTCTAAAATCTTAGAGCATTATATGGACCAGAGATTAACAAAAAAAAAACAATCTACTTTTGAGTTGTACTAGCAACTTCTTCCATAAAATTAGCCAGCTTTAAGTCGCGTTTACTTAACCCGTTGATATCGTGAGAACTTAAAGTTACGTTAACTTTATTGTATACGTTGAACCATTCTGGATGATGGTCCATTTTATCTGCAAGCAAGGCAGTGCGGGTCATGAAACCGAAAGCCTGATTGAAGTCTTTAAACAAAAATTCTTTGTTGATGGCATCTCGGTTGTTTTGTACTGTCCAGCCTTTGCCTAGGAGGGCATTCAGTTGAGTGTTTCTTTCTTCAGGAGTTAGTTTATCAGCCTAAAAAACAAAAAAAATACATAAGTACATTTATTTGTACATTATGCATGTGCTTGTTATAGGCATTAAAGAGATTAAACAGGAAAAGCTTTAACATTTTCATGGAATAGACTTAATAATCAAATATTACATGGTGTCCAAGATAAGGATGTCTATCATAGGGATCTCATAAACGGTAATAGATACGGCAATAGTTGAATGGGAAAAAAGTTGCATTTCAAATTGGCAATTTTCCTTCAAGCTTAAAGACTGCACTTGTTAGCCCTGTTAATAAGGGTGGTGAACTTGACGACCCTTCCCATTTTTGACCTATTTCTGTTTTGCCTAAGGTTTCAAATGTTATTGAAACAATCAATTGTTAAAAAGCATATGATCTCCATTTTGAACAGAAATCATATACACTGTGTCCCGCTTAAGGACTGACCACCCTTCTAAAATTATTATTTTTTAACCGATTCAATTAATTTTTTTTTTGTCTTATATCTACTCGAATTTGGCACTTATTAATACTAAACTGCTTTCAGTTCAGGTTTCAAGCAGGCAGGAGCACGGGTAACAACATGTTTAGTTTCCTTGAACATTTGTATCTGGGTCTCAATCTCAATGAAGGAGAAGTGGCTGCGGCGGTTTTTTGCGATTTATCGAAGACGTTCGACTGTGTGGATCGCGAAATACTGCTGTGGAAACTGTATCTGTATGGATGGATCTGGTGTTTCCTGCGTGTGGTTCAAATCGTACCTTTCAGAAAGGAATGAAGTGGTGAAGTGTGGTGCAACTAAATCTAATGCACTTGGTATTGATTATGGAGTGCCACAAGGTTCAATACTTGGCCAACTCCTATTTTTAATATACATATATTAACAACATTGTATCTATCTATTTGCTGATGAAAACGTTTTTGGATCCTAGTGTATTGTCCAGTGAGCTAGAGCTCGATGGTTACTGTCTTTTGCTGTGAGAGGTCAAAATAAACAAGCCAATGTGTTACACAGGGTGGGGTGTTGATTGCTATAAAAAATGCCTTCTCGCGACAGCTTACTACCCCAGTGAATAATGTAGAACATCTTTTGGTTGTGTTGTCTATTTGAGGTGTATGAAAGTGTCTGCCTTTCAATTGTTCAATTATTAGATCAGCACGACTTTATAGATTTATGGCTCTGGGGCCATTTAAACCTGCCTGATAAAATTCTGATATTTAATAATTTGGGCACATAGTGCAAATGGAACCAGTCCAATTGGCTCCTTGTCAAATGAAGATACAGTTTGCAAATTAAAGCAGAGTCTAGAGTCTCGGTGTTGGGCTAGATAGCATACCTGTTGTTTTCCGTGGAAGGCTGCAGGTTTGTTCTATCTCAACTTTTGTGTAATATTTTTAATTTGTCATTGTCTACTGGTAAAAATCCAACAACCTGGAAAAAATCATATGTTTAAAAATTGAGATAATCAAACTCAATCAAAGGTCTTCTTGGTAGCCAAAGTTTTTGAAGGTATTGTTGCAGATATTATCATCCCACATTTTAAGAATATCATTATCCATGAACAACATGAAGGAAAGATCCACCATAACAAATCTTTTAACTTATGAGCAGGCTTTGTTTTAAGCTTTTGGGAATAGGTATCAAATTGATGCAATTTATACTGATTTCTCGAAGGCTTTTGGTAAAGTTGACTATAACATTCTCTCAAAAAAGCTGGAGGCTGCTGGTGTACATATGGCATTTTAATTAGGTGGTTTCAGAGTAGTTTAACAGGCCGAAAACAATCTGTCAAAATGAACAATTACATCTCTTCAAAAGTGTAAGTTACTTCTGGTGTTGCCCAGGGTGAACCCCTGTCTACACTCCTTTTTAATGGTTTTTTGAACATGTTTTTTCTTGCATTTGCTGATGATTTGAAACTTTTCAAGATAATCAAATCCATTGAAGATTGTATTTTGTTGCAGAAAGATTTAAATAGATTTAGTGCTTGGTGTGAAATGAATAATTTTACTTTAAACATTCAAAAGTGTAGTTTTATCTCATCCAGTAAATCTAGGGGTCCTATTGTTTTCGATTATACATTTGATTCATTGGAGTTGCTGAGGCAAATCATAGTTAAGGACCGTGGCATCTGGTTAGACAGCGAGTACCTTTGCAAAACATATAGATATAATAACAAATAGAGCAAGGAGGTTACTGGGGTTTGTGTTTAGAACTCTTAAAGGTTTCAACAATGTTTTTACAATAGGAGATGTTTATTGTTCTCTGGTTGGATCCATCCTAGAGTATGAAAGTACTGTGTGGTGGCAGTCATATTATGCTGTACCTACATAAGGAAAAACTAGAGAGAGTACACAATAAATTCCTCAAAACAATAGGATCAAATTAAATATTACTCATGAAAATATAAATTGGGAAATTGTTGAACTTATCATCTTTGAAGAGAAGGATTTTTTTTTTGACATCTGTTAGTTGTATAAACAGTAGCGTGCAACATTTTTCTGGATCCCCTATCTACTTAGTGACCAAAATATTCAAAACCCACAAAATACTTTGATTTCTTTTTAAGTAAGGTTTAAGCAAAGTAGTTGATTTTTTCTGCAATTTTCTGTAATTGTTACGAAAAATGCAAATGAATGTTGGATTTGAGTAGGGCCCCCTGATGGCACAAGGCCTCCCCGTCTGCACGCCATTGTGTATAAAATCTTTATTAATATTATGAGGAAACACCTGAATTACTTGCAGATATGATATTGGTCTGGTCTACACATATCTCCTATTAATTCTAGAAATAGCTTTTTTATATTTCTTTTCACCGAACAAACTACTGTCTAAATTCACCCATATCACAAAATATACAGAGTGTTCATTTTAAAACTTATCACCCCTATTATCTCAAGAGTTGAAAAATTTTGGAAAAAAATCCAGAAACATGTCAACTATAATTTGAGGGGGGATGAGTTTTTATGCGTTTTTATACCCCTTTCAGCCCCCAAACCCCAGAGCCACCTCCTAGAAAATCCTGAATGAGAAGGGGGGTCAAGTGATTTATCATTTTGGAGAGTTTTTAATTCCATTCATTTTGCATTTTGGTACTTGGGCTGTGGTCCAAATATAACTAGGGTTGTAGTTTCGCGGTCCGAAAGTGATCGGTTTCCTGAAATCTGGTTAACCAAATGTCAAAATAGTTGCCGACTATCGGATGTCGGTTCCGTTGGTTTTATCTGTGAATTCTATCAACTATTTTTTATTTCATATTCGCGTTCTCTAAGTAACCGGAATTTTCAGTAACCATCTGTCAACCGAATCGGTTACTTTGGTTAACATTTGGTTATATTCGGACCATAGCCTTAATTTTAATCCCTAAGTTCAACTGTTCTGGAAATATTGACAGTTGGAAATTGACTTTTTTCCTACTTTCACGGGCTGTAAAACCTAACGGTTAATTTTAGAGAAAAATCGATCTTACATTTTTATCTTAGAACTATCATTTGACACCAACTTTGAATTTAACCAGAGATTAAATATTTAACCGGAATTTTTGATCATGGATTACATTCAAAGTTGTCAAATAATAGTTCATAAAAATCTAAGATAGGAATGTAAGATCGGTTTTCCTACGAGCGTGCGGAAAAGTTACTTTTTCGCACGATGTTTACTTTTCCGCACGATTTTTACTTTATGGGTACTATTTTCTACTTCAAACCAAATTCCTATCTAAATTGAAAAAAAAAAGTTCATTCTACTTTCAGTGGAGCGATATCAAGAGACAAGAAGTGAAACTCACAGTCTTCTCCAGGTCTCAAAAATTAGCACAACGAAAATGGCACAAATCAGAAAAACTAGAGTACTAAATTCGGGCCTATTTAGTGCTAGTTTAGTACAAAAAAAAATGTATAACTCTATTTTTTAAAAAATTACGTGTATATGTGCCAGCTTAAGATTAAGCTAGCACACTCTAGTTGGATAAGATCGAATCTTTGAAAATCTAGTACCTCATATTTAGTGCTAATTTAGGACATTCATGTGACGCCTAAAAAACTAACAATGATGTATTTATTACAAAATAACCACGGAAAAGTGCTAACTTAAGACTTGAATCAGCACACATAGATCGAATCGACTGCGTGAGAACGGAATTTGCATGCATATATTTAGTGCTAATTTAGTACTTCAAAAACGACGACCCGAAACAAACTAGTATCACATCAGCACAGAGCTAACCCAAACTAACCCGAACTAACGTCCGAAATTAGCACTCACACAAGTGCTAGCTCTGTGCTAATGTGATACTAATTCGTTTCGAATCGTCGTTTCTGAAGTATTAAATTAGCACTAAATATGTGCATGCGAATTCCATCCTCGCGCGGTTGATTCGATGTATGTGTGCTAATTCAAGTCTTAAGTTAGCACTTTTCCGTGGTTATTTCGTAATAAATACATCATTGTTAGTTTTTTAGGAGTGCATGCCATGAATGTACCAATACCAAATTAGCACTAAATATGAGGTACTAGATTTTCAAAGATTCGACCTTATCCAACTAGAGTGTGCCAGCTTAATCTTAAGCTGGCACACATGCACGCAATTTTTTTAAAAATAGAGTTATAAATTTATTTTTTTCGTACTAAATTAGCACTAAATAGGTCCGAATTTAGCACTCTAGTTTTTCTGATGTGTGCCATTTTCGTTGTGCTAATTTAAAAAACCAGTCTTCTCCACAATTCTTTATGTATTTTATTTTTTAAAATTTTACGACGAGTATACGTCATGTTTTTGATATATAATTGAATCCATTTTCAGCTCTTGAACAACAATATGAGAATGATAAATTACTATATATATATATCTATGGTGAGTGGGCTAAAGAGTACAAGTCAAAATTAGACAAATCAAGAAAAATGCTTTCGAAATATTAGACTTTAAAATAATCGGATTTTTTGTGGCTGTTTCGGACGAATCGAATTTTTAACTTTACAAAGGTTTTTTTTTATTAGAGATAATCTATTTTTTTATTTTTTTTT